AACGATATTATAGTTTATATAATAGCGTTTAACTTACTATTTAATCTTACTATTTAGTTTATAATTATACCTAAACCTCTACTTTAAGATTATTTTAGTAGTCTACCGACTCTCTCCTTTTAACGAGCTCTAACTAAGGACTTAAGCTTAGTATCCGTACTAAGTAAAATTCTAGGATTAATATACTAATCCTAATACTCGAGAGGTTTAACTTACGCTAATAGTAAAACCCGACTCGTCGACGTTATAAATGTCCTCGGGAGCGTAGCGATTTAAGACGAAAAGCTCGGTAAGACTCGAGAAGTAGGACTCGACTATCGAATAGCGAGTACTATTATACTAGCTTATTTCTAGCTATCGACTCTAAGCTCCTTTTATTTCCGGATAGCGAGTATATAGTCTATCGATCTACCTTTTACTAGGTTAGAAAATCGAGGTTATAGAGAAAGGGTTCGGCGTCGAAAGTAGGACTCGAGAATAGCGTATCTCGAAAGCGAGTTCTTACGCGAATTTAGGTAAAACCGGGTAGCCGTACTTCGATAACTTCGAGATCTACTTAATAAGAGTCTACTCTTCGGTTATAAATAGGTATTACTCGTGTTCGTACGCGATAGATCGAGAAACGCCGCCGGCGAGCCGTAGTTAAAGCGTAGATTTACTAATAGAAAACGCGGTAGTACACTTGCGTTTCGAGGTATATAGATTATTCTTATAAGCAGATATTGCGTCTAGTATACGCTGCTCGAGATCTATAAAGTAGAAGAGTTAAAAGTTAAGCGTGTCGCGAGAAATTAAAAGAAAACGCGAAAGTGTCGCGGATCCGTGCGCAGCTTCACCGTCTGCGCAGCTTCCCTATCAAGTACGTTACCGTTAGCAGGGCTCTCCTCTGGCGTATTCGCGATGTATCCCCGAGATCAATGCGTGCCGCAACATGCCATTGATGCTTCTAATAGCTCGATCGATGGGGATAGGGAGGAGATTCTCTGGTAGAACTTACGACGGCGTGTGATGTGAGATTTTGTGCTGTAGGCCAAGTCAGCGCGATGTCCCATGAGGTGCTAGCGGCCCAGGGTGAAGGAGAGGTACGTACAGAGCGTGTTGGTGAGTGCTGCTGCTTATAGACTATGTTAGCAATATGCTCACGGCTACCGCAGTGCGTGAAGGGCCTTATTTTGCTGTGTGATGTGACTATACAGCGGTCAGCAATGAGATCTCATCCCCAGGGAACACCCATCGATCGGGCCATGGAGTATACGTACAAGCAGTTTCTAATGGATCGAGTGTCTGGAGAAGAATGATGTTAGTATACCTCAACAGCGGATACAGGCTCAGGGATAGGGGGCCTCACGGTCACCACGTTTCGCGTGAGGAAGGGAAGCAGTTGAAGCGGCAGCGGAGCGAAATACAGCAAGCCCACGCGCCAAGCCCTCATTACCTCACCGGGGCAACGAACGCGTCAAAAGGCCGCACGTCAACTACCTCGAATACACCTCACCTGGCAAGAACTCGCATGTATCCCCGTTCTCCAGCCATTGAGAAACCTAACGTTTATCTGTTCGATGCCTTAGACATATCGCGATATTCAGAGAGAAAGGGGCAACTTTACAGCCAGGAGGAAACATTCTTCCCGCGCAACCCAGGGCTCCCGCGCAGCTCGACCCTCCCACCAGCGCAACAAGCAGAGAAGTAGATACTCTTACTCAAGCAATACATCAAGATATCCCCGATACATAACGTTGGAGAACACGTCTGATCATATCATCGATAGCCTGGAAGCACCACAACGGGGAGAGAAGAACATCTAATCGACCAGCTACCTCCGCTTGATCGTTACATATCACCTACGCCCATCAGAACCACGACAGACAACCAACAAGCGCATAGGCTACTCGTCGATGTCCACACAGCCTATTCAGGGGCGAGCAAGCCAAGATATCACACAACCGTTTTGAAAACAGCAGCAGGAGGAGCAGGATCTACGGTACTGGAAGGATGTCGAACAGGTATATATATGTATTAGAGAGAATACATAGCTGTGAAAGCATCAGTCGTTGGAATTGAGTTATGGGGCCAAGCTTCCAGCTCGCGCGATACCCATGCTGCAGGACCCACTTGCCGTGTGGATCAGCTCATGCTCCTCCTCTTCCTTCCACACCTCAGATCCATATGCTCCATCTACAACACTCAGCTGATTCCTAAGGATCGCAGTGAGACCGTGACTGAGTTGACACGTACCCTTACTGTCGTCTCGGCTGATCAACAAAGCTTCATGTGCCACTCCTGCAGCTCAAGCAAACCACCAACAATCAACGACATCACCTGAAAACTAATCCATCTCGAAAAGCAATCAATCCGCCATCATGGCCGCACCCAAGAAATCCGCCCTCATCGTCGTTGACATGCAAGAAGACTTCTGCGAACCCAACGGCGCCCTCGCAGTCAAAGACGGCCGCGGCGTCGTCAACTACATCAACGAGCTACTCTCCTACACTGGCTTCTCCCTCAAGATCGCCACTCAAGACTTCCATCCTCACGATCATATCTCTTTTGCGTCGCAGCATCCCGGGACGAAGGCCTTTACGTCGGAGCATACGATAAAGAATCCAGAGAATGGGGAGGAGACGCAGACGACGTGAGTTTTCGATTGCTGGTGTAATGATCAGGCTTGATGATGTGGTGCTAATGATCTTTGTCGATAGTCTGTTATGGCCAGATCATTGCGTGCGAGGAACGAAGGGAGTCGAGCTCATTCCCGAGTTGCACCAAGACAAGCTCTCACACACCGTCCACAAGGGTCTCGACACTCGAGTCGAAGCATACTCGGCCTTTGGACCTCCCTTCCGCAACCCGAAGATCTCGATGAGCGAGCTGGATGGAATCTTGAAGGGTGCTGGCATCACGGACGTTTTTGTCGTTGGTCTGGCTTACGATTTCTGCGTCAAGTGCACGGCGGTCGATGCGATGGAGCATGGGTATCGAACGTTTCTGATTGAGGATGGGACGAAGGGGGTGTTTCAGTCGAAGGATGCTGTTGAGGGTCTGGGGAAGGAGTTGAAGGAGAAAGGTGTGGAACTTGTCGGTGCAGATTCGACGGTGGTGCAGGCTTTGAAGGGGTAGATCATGAATCATAAATGAAATAATCTCGAGGACAGATGCTTCTGTCCCTGCCCAGATTAGTGGTGAGCTATCGTCACAATGTGATGAGTGGAGTGCCAGTCAAGCCAGGCCATCGATGCTCTGGCAAGGTAGTCGATAAGAAAGGAGTCGTGGTGTTCGCAGCAAACTATATCCACTACAATGACTATATCCATGCTATCGATATACGTATTGGAGCGTTTTATCTTGATAGATATGAGGAGGACCTCTTGACAGACTGCGCTTCATATCTCTCCAACATCCCCGTTGCAACGTCCCTGTCCACGCTATCGATATATGTATCGATACAGTTGTACAGCTATTGGTATGAGGGGATTCATCTCGTAATATAGACATCAATTAGTATGTGAAAGCCCTCCTCAAGGCACGAAGAACGGCAATACTCACTTCACTCACTTCCTTCACCTTTCCACATCATCACCTCGATCCCCACAATAGCGCTAGAAGACCACGATAATAGATCTATTGTTCTGACCCCTTTCACTCACCAATACAATGGGGATGTGAGCTTGATATGCAGTGAATGAAGCCTCACCTATGCCCTTGTCGCCGCATATAACAGGCGCTCCGAACGCACACTCTGTGACGTCCTTCTTGTTAACATCCCCAGCTATCCCGAAGAACTCTCTGCCATCAAACTCCCCAATCAATCAATCGACAGCACGGAAGCACGATGAGCTGCTGGGATACCACCAAGGACCGGGTGAAGAAGGCCTACTACCGGGCCTGCGAGCACCGGTGGGCCAGCCTGGTGGCCATTCTCATCCTGCTGGTTTTCATCTCACTTCCTGGTATGTGGCATTCATCCCCAGAGATCGATTGATGGCCATGCTGACCAGCACTTATAGCATGGCTTGGTTACGTGACAGGATAGGGGGAGACGCAGGGGAAAGATGCGTAGAAGATCTCACCCAAAGCAAGATCGACACCGGCAACGGCGTCGATTGAGAATCAACTACACATCATGAGCCCTTGAGCGCCATGCTACCAAGCAACAGCGCCTCAGACTCCCTGCTCAACACGTTCACCTCGCCTTTCTTTGGGGCCTCTAGCCGGTAAATCTTCCTGATCCTCGCTGCATCGTGCATCCCAGCTAACGCTTCATCAGTCAGTTCCACCGCCTTTCCTTCGACATTCCCCAGAAGATGCTCCTCGACCTTGGCTCGATCTCCTCCGACTTTGATCGCAACGATGTTCTTGCTGTCGTCTGAGAGACCGAATCGTCGGAACGATTCAGCAATCTGGGAGAGAGTGTGAGCAAGACGAAAACGTATATTTTGGAACAGACTTGCAGAAAAGCAAGAAACTTGACATAAAGTCCAAGCAGAGACTCGACGAAGAGAGAATCGCGAGTACGAACTTACATTGCTATTGGGCGACAATGCGAATACGATTTCAGAGTGCACATTGCGAGTCTTTAGGCGTTGGTTCAGCAGATCGTTGATCGATCGGAAGCAGCTCGCCAAGACATGGTTCTTCGATAGCAAGACGGAGGCGTCTATAAGTGCGTATTCAAAGTCTGTGTTGCCCTCCAATAGCTGCCGGCGTAGGAAAGCCGCATTCTGGACCTGCTCGAACAGGCAGATGTGGAGAGGGTGGGAGGGCAAATGCGGCAGATAGACGGTCTCCATGTCAGCGTGTCGAGTAGTCGAGATCGCTCCTGCGCATGCCACGAGCTGCTTGAAGTGACGGTTCGAGGGCAGTGTGCAGGTGATTGTAGGGCGTTAGGTGGTTTTGGGAGAGGGTTTACGTCGTCGCCGGCGCAGAAAGGAGCACAGCGAATCACTGTCCAGCCACGCCGCACAGCAGAAGTCAGGGCGCACGGGCCGCGACCGGTTCGTCTGGCCAGAACTCTTGCGCAGCAGCGTGCAGTGGGCAAGACACGAGTCCAGCTCTTCTGATCCGCTGACGGCCGCGACGACTTCGAGCAAGGCGGAGGGGAGTGAATGACCAGACGACGCCCTCGACAATGTGATCCACGTCCGCCAGCTTGCCGCGGGAAAGTCACAACAAACAACAACAACAGTCCCAAGCACTGGCGAGGAGCGAACACAGCACGCACGCACGGCTAGACGCGACTGGGCGGTAACTTCCACCTTCACCCAAGCACACGGAAAATGCCAGCGAACAAGCGGCCCGGCGACGACGCCGCAGACGACGACCGCGACTCGCCGCAAGCGAAGCATCCGAGGACGGACGCCCATCTTCACCAGCACAACCATGGCGACTTCCTCGGTGGCTTGCCGCCGACCAGCAACGGCATCGGCGGTGGCAGCAAGAAGAAGTCGGCGGGTTCGTCGCGGACGGGGCAGGCCTGCGATCGTTGCAAGGTGACAAAATACAAGCATCGATGTCAAGGCATGTGAATACTAACCAATGTGACAGATTCGAAAGATTAGATGCGATGCGCGACCGGGAGGCTGCTCGCCATGTCTGCAGAACAACACCGAATGCAAGACGACCGATCGAATCACCGGCCGGGCGACGACTCGAGGTCACACCGAGCACATCGAGAACGAGAATACGGCATTGAGGCTGTACATGATCGAGCTGCAGCAGCAGTTGAAAGAGAATGGACTCGAGCCCAAGCCGCCGCCGGGCAACGCGCATGGCTACCTTTCCAACAACCTTCAGACCGGATACCACGATGGCTGGGATGTGCAAAGCAGCGCATATGCCGCCCAAGCGTACCCTCTCCCGGCGCATGAGTCTCCGGAACGTCAGACCACGGGCTCACTGCTGCCTGACTTCCGGGCTGGCTGCATTGGAGACAACTATCTGGGTGTCTCGTCCGAGAACAACTGGCTCAGTCCTATTGAAGGCACTTCGCTCGCCCTGTTCGGCACCAAGATCGATCTGGCCGAGTTCATGCCCTCTGAGGCGGATCCAGCAACGTCTGCGATGTCCTACAGAACTTTCTTGAGCCATGCTTTTGGACGCACCCAACCGTTTCAACCTCCGCTGCCTCCATACACACAGTGCAAAGTCTACGCCGACTGGTACTTTCGATCGATCCAGCAGTTCATCCCCATCCTCCACAAGCCGGACTTCATGAACCTGCTTGATCGCGTCTGTCACCAAGAAGGCCACCAACCGACTGCTGCGGAGACCGTTATGGTGCACATGGTATTGGCAGTTATCAACTTCCAGTACTCTCGGCGCAACGGCAACGATCAGGCCCGTCACGATTCCATGAGCCACTACCACTACGCACTCAGCTTCATTCCAGAGCTCGTTACTGGCCACAAGCTGGAAGACATTCAAGCTCTCACCTTGATCTGCTCCCAGCTACGCAACCAACCTCGCCCTGGTGCAGCTTGGATGTTCACCAACATGGTCATGGGATTGGCTATCGAATCGGGTCTGCACCGATCCGCAAAAGCATGGCAAGGCTCAGGCATGAATCAGGATCCTCAACATCTGGAGATGCGGAAACGTATTTTCTGGAGTCTGCTGGTGTTCCATGTCCACGTTTCTGGGAAGCTTGGCCGACCAATGCCTCTGCGTATGGAAGACTTCGACATTGAGATACCGGAGCCTATGCACGATTTTCTGCCAGAGGAAGCAAACTTGCCCGAGTGGAAGAAGTGCTCATGGCGAGCAGGTGGTGAGGGATTCAAGCTGCTGAAGATCATGATGCGTGTCTACGCCACCATCTACTCGATAAAGTCGACTGGACAGTACGAGACAAACATCAAAGTGCTTGAGAATGACCTCGACACTTTCCAAGCCCAAGTACCCGTGGAGCTTCGAGGCGGTGCTGAGACGAAAGAGGAGGATCGAGTTTCAGCACTATATCTGGACATGTCGGTTGCGGAGTGCCAGCTACTGCTTCACCACCCATCTCTCTGCAGATCAGCGACGCCTCAGACCATGAGCAGCAACCTTGACGTATGCCTTCATTGGAGCGGCAGACTGCTGGCTTGTGCGATTCAGCTCAAGACACTGAAGTCTCTCGACACGACCTGGTATTACTCCACGGACTTCCTCGCAGCAATTTTTACCACCCTTTTCGCCTGGACCGAGCGGCGAGACCAGATGACGTCCACCGACTTGCAGAGTGTGCGACATGATATGGATCAGTGGTTGGACGTGATGGGCGAAGTGGGAAACCTACTCGGTCAGAGTCTTGTGCCGGAAACGAGAGAGCAGGTTACCGACATATCAGCAGGAACTGGACCGCAGCTTCAGCAAGCCATCAGCGGGATCATTGACTTCTCATTGAGTAACCTGAACCGGCACATCGCTGCCAAGACAGCTTCGGCAGCCGTCGCATCTACGGTCTCACCAAACACCCAGGAACAGGACGCGGCCCAGTCACTGTACAACAGCACCAACGAGAGCGATACTTACTACACCAACGGCACAGGCAGCCATGATATCGCCCAACCACAAACCCAGGGACAAGCATACATGAATGGTCAGGCAGGGCACCAAGATCAAGCCCAGAGCTATCCAGTCTCCACTCCTTATACTTACCCTGGCGTCCAAAACGGGACGTTGGCATACAATCAGAACAACTTGGCAGCCTACGACACTTCGGCATACTCCAACGAGGAGGCAAAGCCCAACATCGAGGCACAACTCCATGCAGCCGCCCAGGAAGCTGCCATGTCTTCGCAGCCTCAGACCTCCAACTTTCTTGCAGCTTTCCAATCACCCACGGGTCAAGTCAGCAACGGTTTCCAGCAATCACCACAGCAGGCAGAATACCCACAGGCAGGGCCCGCGGCCTGGAGGCATTTCGCTAACTCCATGATGACCAACGTGAGTGGCCAGGAGTACATTCAGACTCCAGCCGGGGCACTAATGGCTCTTAGCGGTGGTAAAGCCGGTGACGGCTCCATCGACCTCGCTACTGCCACGATGGGTAACATACCGATGCCCAACGATGGCACCACGCAACCCTGGCCTTTACTGCAATACACTGGCGGCAACGGCGATGGCCATCAATGATGAGACAATGTTTTTGAATGAGCGATACGAGCGACGGCGTCCGGGCGAATGGGTTGGTTTCAGCGACGTCGCCATGGTTGGGTTGTCCTTATGGAAAATCATGTGGATTCCTTGCTTCAGGTCTACTGTACGGGATACTTGGCTGATCGGCCTGTAAGATACCAATTTGCTTTCTTGCCTGCGCTGCAGATGCTTTGCGGCATACAGACAGCATTACAGCACTATGTTCATAGCTCGCGGAGAAATGTACGTTTTGTACTATGCTTGCCACTTCTGCCGTTCATCATCTATCCTGGCAACGCCAAGCTCAATTGCTTGGAGTCATCAGTCATATCTTAGACATCAGGTTCTGTGTAGCACAAGGGCACTTCGGCAGAATGAGGCTGATGTTTCGTGTACCTGACTAGTTACCTCAGCTTCAGGTAATCAGAGAAGTCAGTGCGATAAAACGGTTGCGTATCCCATTTGTGGGATGTATCATCGCCGACTAAGCAAAGCACTGAGCATCGTACGGAAATCCGTTACGCATTCCGTCCTCTAGATGCCCGTACCGGTCGAAAGGTCGAGATGCCGGCTAAACTCGGAAGAATCACCAGGGTGAGGTTGACGAGGAGATAAGCTCCTGGGCAGAAAAGAGGGATGCAGAACGGGCTGCAAGTTCATCACCGAGGTCTCTGAAACAGAGCAATCGATGAGAAGTTCTCGAATTGCATGTATAGGTACTTGTTTTTGCCGTGCATGCACGAAATCGATTCGGGAGTGGTGAACGAGCTCCGAGGCGCACGAGACCAGGCCAATGCCGCCGATGGAGATGTGTGACGTTTCCGGCGTGGACGCAGTGCCCGGTCATCGCGATGCAGTGGGCGCAGAGCTCCAGAGCGAGCTACCGCAGCAGACCATCATTTGGTCGTCTTTTGGGCTGGGATGCGAACGAAAAGGCCGAAGGTGAACCGGCGGGCGGCGGGATGAGGTCAGTGCTCCACCGGGGCAAAACATTGACGATGCTCTCCTAGCAACGCCTTTGATGAGTGAATGAATTGATCAGTATACCAGCAATCAAGAGCCTCTCACCCAGAGCAATGGATTCAGACCCAATGCATTAGGATGCATGCACGGCATGACGAAGATTGCTGCAGTCGAAGGCTGATACTGCCTTCCTAGCGCTCATCGCATAAGCATATCGTCAACCATGAGCTCTCCTCTTGCCCCACCACTGATGAAGGAGGGGCACCCTAGCCGTTGGACACGCCAATAGAGCAGCCCACGCAGATACGTATACCTCTCGTCTTCCGGACTACAAAAACTTCCCTTCCTGCCATTGTCCCAGTTCTTCTTCCTCTCCATCTCCTCCAACAAGCAATAACCCCACCAATACCAAACCTCATCCCACCACACGACCACACGACCACCTCCAACAACAACACCACCACCATGCCTCAGAGAATCCCAGAAGGCGAGCATCTCCTGGACCTCCTCTCCCTCAAGGGACGGGTCGTTGTCGTCACCGGTGCCTCCGGCCCCAAGGGCATGGGTATCGAGGCTGCCCGCGGCTGCGCTGAGCTGGGCGCCGACATTGCCATCACCTACGCCTCGCGTGCCGAGGGCGGCATCAAGAACGCAGAGCAGCTCTCGAAAGACTACGGCGTCAAGGCCAAGGCATACAAGTGTCAGGTCGACAAGTACGAGAGCGTCGAGCAGCTCGTCAAGGACGTCGTCAACGACTTTGGCAAGATCGACGCTTTCATCGCCAACGCCGGTGCCACCGCTGACAGCGGCATCCTCGATGGCTCCGTCGAGGCCTGGAACCACGTCATCCAGGTCGACTTGAACGGTACCTTCCACTGCGCAAAGGCCGTCGGCCACCACTTCAAGGAGCGCGGCACTGGCTCGCTCGTCATCACTGCCTCCATGTCCGGCCACATCGCCAACTACCCTCAGGAGCAGACTTCTTACAACGTCGCCAAAGCCGGCTGCATCCACATGACCCGCTCCCTCGCCAACGAATGGCGCGACTTCGCCCGTGTCAACTGCATCTCGCCTGGGTACATCGACACCGGCCTCTCCGACTTCGTGCCCAAGGAGACCCAGAAGCTCTGGCACAGCATGATCCCGCTCGGCCGTGACGGTCTCGCCAAGGAACTCAAGGGTGCCTATGTCTACCTCGTCTCCGACGCTTCGACCTACACCACCGGTGCTGATATTGTCATTGACGGTGGCTACCCCTGCCGATAAACAGCTCACGACTTTGATATTACGATTTAATGGGAACTACTTTGTTGCCTTCTCAGAGCTGGGCTCTAGGGCTGGCTGCTGTGTATGAGCAAGGAAAACTTCAACGAGATACTCTTCAAGAAATACCAAAGATGAGAGATGAGACGTAGCCATTTTTGCAATCGAAATTCACAAGTGCTACGACGAACACACAACCACAACGATTTCCTCACACTTTCGTCAGTCCTCGCCTCCGAGCAAAACATTTCACCTCAAATGACATGCGACATCGTAAGTTCACTTCAGTTGCTCTCCCCACCGTTCCACTGTTCCTGCACTAGTCTCCCCAGCATCGACTCCACGTCCGCCCGATCTATCGTGAAGTTCGAGATCTTCGAGCAGAGGCCGAAGTTGAGGCCGAAGTTTTGGCCGAAGTTTTGGACGAAGTTTTGGAGCTTCGAAGGTGATGTCACACATCATCAACCGTTTAGACAGCTTCGAACTCACGACGAGAGCAGGATTTGGAAGGGCACCGCTATTCATGAAACATGGCCCTATCGAGGCACTCCTATCGAGGTGCACCACTGGAAGCGTTACTGGGAAAGGACTATAGTTACCAGCAACGAGAACACTCCCGCCGGTACTTGGAGCAAACGCTGACGTTCGCTCTTCATTCACCTTGGAATTCGGACCGAGACTGTCGATCTTCATCAGAAGCCGGTTCGCCGTCTCGATTTGGGGGCGAAGAAGCCAAACAGACAGCCTCGAATATTCTTGCCTCTTCGGCTACACATCCATCCCCTCCAACATGATAGTCAACAACCTCGACTCCCGAATCTCCTCCGCCCGCTCCTTCAACTCCTCGACGTCCCAGTTCGCCCAGACGAACTTGCCCTTGAGGAAGCTGGCTTCCTGCGATACGAGCCAGACGCAGAAGTGGCCCGGGAGGTCAGCTAATTCCATAATTTAGCAAGGCCGTGTCTGGTGTCATGAGTTCAAAGAAAGATCACTCACGACTGTCCTTGCCCTGAACCTTCATATTCGCTGTCGCCTCAGTGGCGACACTGCCCGGCTGCAGACTCACGACATGCAGCTCTGGGTTTTCGGCTTGGACGTACTCGACGAGTTTCGCGCTCGCGGCTTTGCTCGCTGCGTGGGCGCTGATGCCTGGTCGGGGGAGCATGTGCACGAGACCCGTTGAAGTGTTCAAGAAGAATGCGTCTTTCTTGGAGGCGCGGGGAAGGAAAGCATGCGCTGTATTGAGAGTTGAGAGGACATTGCCATTGACCAGACTCATGAAGTCGTCCGGTGCGACGTCTGCAACGAGGCCGGGCTTTGGCGTCGTACCGGCATTGGAGACGCAGATATCGATGGGAGCAGCCTGAGTCTGAACGATGGATTCGAAGGCTTCGATGGTGGCGTCTCGATCGGTCAAGTCCGCCACCTGGTAGAAGATCTTTTGGGTCTCGTCGCCAACCGCAGAAGATATCTCCTTGACGGCTTCTTTCAACCTCTCTTCACGCCGACCGACGATGGCGATCGAGGAGGCTCCGGCCTGTGCGAAGGCTTTGGCGATGGCTTTACCTATGCCTGTTCCGCCGCCGGTGACGACGACGGTTTTGCCTTTGACTGAGAGGTCTGGACGAAGAGGTGAGATTGCATCGTAGGGCTCGTGGTGCAAGATTCTAGTGAATGAGGGGAATTGGAAGGCCATGTTGCTTGGCTTGACAATGGATGGGATTCTGACTGACGGCAGGAATCGGTCGGAGTCTGAGGTTATATATCTGGACGCTGGCTTCTTCCACAGCATTCTGGTTTTGATGTCGGGGGCACCGCTTTCAGAGATAGAAATGCTGAGGAGCCGATGCTTAGCAAGCCAGTCATTCAATGTGCCTCAGGCAGGTTTGCCCCCTTGGGTTGGATTTCGCAGCGTTTGGAATCAGGACCACAGCCTTGCCGAGAGAAAGAACCCGTTCAGACAAGCGAAGATTACTACAAACAGCGACCGCAACTAATAGCAAACTTGCAGCAGAAGCGTTGGTGCCCTGACGAGGCTAGCAAAAGCTTCCGCCTACCCTATTTTCTTATCGAGAGCCTTGCGTGATGGCACCAGCATGAGCGAAAGTAAGCACGACGATACTGACGGACGCAGCCCTAGAAACGTTCGAAAAATGTTTACTGCGGAGACCAATCGAGATGACCAACCCTTGAGACGGCTTCAAGCTTGAAACTCCGAGAGGTGACTTATGTCCGGAGTAACCTCTTGTCCATGACATACATCAAGAGAAGTCGACACCATCAACGGAAGGACAAGTTACGTCTTCCGCATTCCATCCCCATCGTATCGCTATCGAAAAATGGCGACCCGAACAATCGTCTTCGGTCCAACAGGTAACGTCGGCTCAATTGTAGCCTGCACAGCCCAGAGACATGGAGCAAAAGTCTTCCTCGCCATGCGAGACACAAGCAAATCCATCCCCGGACTCAGCGCTATCGAAGAAACATCTGGTGGATTCGAAAGAGTCACCGCCGACTTAACGAACCCAGAGAGCGTATCCGCCGCCGTGAAACGGACAAGAGCTACATCGGCCTTTATGTACCTCGCTCATCAATCTCGCGATCATATGCGAGCCACCTTGCACGCGTCCAAGGATTCTGGTATTAGGTTTATAGTATTCCTGAGCAGTTTTACGATCAATCGGCCATTGGAAGATATACCCTCAAATGAAAGGATCCCCTGGATCCACGCCCAAGTCGAGAAGAATCTCGAGGAGATCTACGGACCGAAGAACTACGTTGCTCTCAGAGCGGGTGCTTTCGCGACGAATACACTTCGTTGGAGAGATGGACTGCAAGCCGGCGAGGTGTTCCTCACGAGTCCGGATACGAAGTTCGACTTCATCACTGATGTCGATATGGGCAGGGTTGGAGGGACGATTCTAGCACAGGGACAACGTGATACGCAGAACATCGTGTATTTGTATGGCCCGAAGTTGGTCACTCAGAGGTATGCGATTGTTACGGTGGCGAAGGCGTTGGGGAGGGAGGTGGTTTGGGGTGATGAGGAGGATGGGAGTGGGAAGGCTGTGAGGGTTCGGCTTGGGGGGGAGGAGACGAGGGGGAGTTGGTGGGGGAAGGCTTATGATAATCATGATGAGGGGGCGAGTAATGTTGTCAAGTATACGGGGGAGGCAGGAACTGGATTTGGGGAGTGGGTGGAGGAGAATGTTGAGAGGTATAAGGCTTGAACACTGGGGGGCCAACATATACCATGGCAAATGTTCTTGACCTGCGGATGCAGATGAGCACAGAGTGAGCATTTACAGATACAGGGTCGCCTCACAACCTCCGGCATACCGGTCAAAGCCTCTCGGACCTCACCTCAGCTCCCTTGCCAATGCTTACATACGCAGCTGAGTGAATCCAACGACATGCCTGACCCTGCATTGGAGCCTCGCACTACTACCGCAGCACGGCTTCGTCGATCCCGCAGGCACGGCGATCCGCCATTGACGCTTGCAAAAAAAAGTCCACATAGCGCGAGAAGGTTTCGGCGGTGTCGAAGCTCTAGCTTCAGCTGTCCTTGGACGTCGACTACTGCGAGGCCTGGACGTAGGTTGGGTATGGTGCGTTCGAGGTGCTGACTGAGATGATGTATCAGTAGAAGAATAAAGACCTCTTCTTCAGATTCACGTTCCTCTCTCCAAATAATACCCTTCTCACCCCTGGGCATCACAACAGTCCATCCCTCCACCACCTCACAAACAACCAGCTCCAACAATGACCAACCCCACCCCCAACTCCAAACACCTCCCAGACCTCGTCCCCTCCCTCGAAGACTGCATCCGCCACCGCCACTCCATCCGCTTCTACAAACCGGACCCCGTCCCCCAAGACCTCCTATACGAATGCCTCTCCCTCGCCCAGCTCGCCCCCTCCAACTCCAACATCCAAAACTGGCGCCTCACCCTCGCCTCAGGCCCCGCCCGCGACCGCATCGTCTCCGCCCTGCAACAAGCCTCCCAGGCTCATGGACCCAACGTCCCGCCGCTGCCGGAGCAGTTCAAACACTTTCGCTCGGAGTTTGGACATCTCTTGTATGGCGAGCAGGGGTATAATATCCCGCGCTCCGCGAAGGAGGAACATAAAGCTGCCACGTTGCGGAATTATGAGTTTTTCGGGGCGCCTGTCGCTGGGGTTATTGCTATGGATTCGTCTTTAACGGTTGTTGATGCTATGAGCGTGGGGATGTTCGTGCAGACGTTCATGCTCGCGCTGACGGAGAGGGGGTTGGGAAGCTGTTTGCAGGTCAGCGTGACGGGATATCCGGAGGTGTTGAGGGAGGGGTTTGGATTACCTGAGGATCAAGCGATTTTGTGTGGGATTGCGGTGGGTTGGCCGGCGGAGCATAATCGGGTTAATGAGATAGTTGTGCCGCGGGAGGAGGTGGGAAGGGTGGTGACGATGTTGAATGATTGAACGTGAGGTTCTGTGATGGGTGGAGGATGTGACATAGATGTTTTTGCATTACGAACGGATAGATGCCGTATCACAACTGCTCCTTGCTCGTCTTAGCGGCGAAGGAACTCTGACAGCTCCGCTCCAGAATGAATCGATTCCACCTCTCTGGGTACAGCTCGATCATCCTCTTCTCCAGCTCTTCCGCACTACTCGCCTTCTCCAGCTCCCTCTCAAACACCCAGATGTACTCTTTCGTTGTTTCTGTCAGATACGCTCCATCGATCTGACTCCGTCGCTTATGACCTGGCACCACAATCTTGGGCTGCAAGCTCTCGATCTGTTCGACAGCTTTGATCCAGTTCGCTCGCTTCTCTTTGGTGTTGGCTTCGGCGAGATATTGGTAGCAGTCTCCGTAGACAAGATCACCGGCTACGACCAGATCCAGAGAAGGGACATGGAGGAAGCTGTTGGCTGAAGAATCTCCTTGAATCACATCATACGCTTTCAAGATGTGGCCGTCTAGCTCCAGCTCGTTTGAAGCTGGCAAGGCCTCCCAGTCATGCTGCGTAGCATCGACCTGATTGGGGAAGAAGCCTTGCCACAACTTCACCCAATTCGGTGTGTACATGGGCCATATGCCTTCGAGAACCTTACTTGTAGCCATAGCCTTGATACCCGGGAAGCGCTTTTGCAGCACGGGAAATCCCATGAAGTGATCTGGGTGGGCATGTGTAGTGAAGAAGTACTTGATCTGCTTCCCTGGCGCTGTCTGCTCGATCCAGTCGGCGAGCTCTTCGGTTTGGGGAACGGTGGCGTAGGTGTCAACGATGATGGCGGATTTGGTGGTGTGGATTAGTGTCAGTGATGTGGGTGACCACTATTGTTTGAGGGGGTCGTCTGAGCCGGTCGTTGTGGGGAGGAGAGGTGTGATATAGACGTCGACGAAAATGGGAGATTTCTGAGACATCGTGAGTGTTTGGTGTTCGACTAGGCAACTGCTATATCGGCAGACACCTTGATGGATATGAGTTCGAAGGTGTTCTTCGGTCGCTTTACAGCTTTATATCAACTCCTCACTCGACCGGGCAGTTCGCTTGCTTGATAATCTGGACGCATGGCATGGCGCTCGCTGCATCATATTGAGCCTATTCGGGCAAATGGGCCGTGTTTACCAGGGTGAAATATAATCCAGGTGCGTGCGAAGTCTAAGGTGTTGTGTCATCACCTAGGCTAGAAGTATTTGTTTGATGAGTGATCAGGAAGTGACGCAAGAAGCCAGCATACCAATGCTTTAACACCAATTCGGCGTTGACTTCAATGATCTGGTTGGGCAGTCACTTGAGTACACCCAAGTGCCATGATGCTGTAACAATTGTTTCTTAAAAGATCAGTATCTCCTCGTACGATGCTGGTATGGAAGTAGTCGCCCGTGAGCAGCAGGAGGTAAGGTGGTCGTCTTTGCAAGGCGACATGAAGGACCACACCCCGCCATTTGTAGTTGACTTGTTCTGCTCAAGAGCCAGAGCCAGTGGTTGAGTTAGATATTGTTGTTTGGGAGCACGAATGTCGTGCAGTTTGCTCCTTTCTGCGGACCGGGATGTCGCTCGCAGATCATTGCTCCATTGGGCGACAGCGGGTTCTTGTCTGGCCCGACTTCACCTCCATCTCTCCATCTTCTTCTTGTTCGTCCACGGCACTTGGACACCTCGACACTGCATCTCGAATCCGCATCCATCGCAGAGCCAATTCAGAGTGCAGGGACCAAGAAGCGCAATGGTTAAACTCTCGTACAGTGAGACGCGCTGATGGCTCAGGCCTCGTACAGTTACTACACTCTGTACGACGTGGAGTGCTTAAAAGAGATCCGCACAGTCGCTGCCGTTGACTTGGAGACAATTGCAGGGGTCTCTGTACCACCACAAACTTGCCATGATCAACAACAAGATGGCAGCAGCCATTACCCTGCTGCTCAAGGTGCTTGTCACATCTGTTGGTGCTGAAGATATGAAGCAGATCCCACTCCAATCCGCTGTCGCTCTTTCTACCATTGGAGTTGTTAACAGTACATTACTGGAGAGGTGCCATGGCGACTCATTCATCGATCTCGATGTCTTTGGGGCGAAGGTCCTGAACGTGATTGCGACACCGGTTGAGAATTACTCGACTACCCTGATGGGCGTGCAACATGCCAACCTCAACTTCTGCAACGTCACGGTCACGTACACTCATCCTGGCACAGCCGACAGGGTCAACGTCTTCGCATGCTTTCCTTTGACGGGATGGAATGGCCGCTTTCTGGGACGAGGCGGTCGCGGATTCATCACCGGAGTCGACGCTGGAGTTCTTGCTCCAGTCACCGCACAAGGCTTTGCGGCTGCTTCGACGGATGGAGGCCATACCCTGCACAAGCAGTCAGCGGAAACATGGGCTCTCAATAGCCCAGGAAATATCAACTGGAACTTGCTGGAGGACTACGCATACAAGGCTCTTGGTGACATGACCCTCATCGGCAAGCAACTTACTTCTCAGTTCTATTCCTCGCCACCGAAATACTCCTACTGGGCCGGCTGCTCCACTGGTGGACGACAAGGCCTTATGTTCGCACAAAAGTATCCCGAGCTGTACGACGGCATCCTAGCACTTGCACCGGCAATCAATCTCGACAAGTTTGTGGTTGCAGAGTACTTTGTACAACATGTGATGAACAGGGTAGGGCACTATCCTTTGCCGTGCGAGCTGGACGCTATCAACAAAGCTGCGGTCGAAGCTTGCGATGATATGGATGGTGTGGAAGATGGCGTTATATCTCTGCCCTCGCTTTGCAGGTTTGATCCGAATACGCTCGTCGGAAACGATTTTGAGTGCGATGGGAGGACACAGAAATTTACAAAAGCGGGTACTGTGGCTGCGAATGCATTTTGGGCAAGTCTTCATCATCCAGAGACTGAAGAGAAACCTTCCTGACGTACCTGCAGCTAGGCCCGATTAACCCCGTCGAACGTGAGAAGTGGTACTGGTACGGCGTCAATCACGGCACTCCGTTCAACGGTATGGCGGGTACAAAATGTGCCAACTCGAGTGGTACCTCTTGCCTCGGTGCCCCATTTGTCGTTGCAGAGGAATTTATCCGACTTTTCCTGGCAAAGGACCCCGATTACGCCACGACAAAGATGACCGACGACGAGTACTTCAGCATGTTCCACAGGGCCACACAAGAATATAGCAGCATGCTCGGCACTTCTGATCCAGATCTTTCAGGTTTCAAATCCCGCGGAGGAAAGATGATCACCTGGCATGGCCTAGCTGATGAGCTTATTCATGTCAATGGATCCTCGAACTACTACAAGCAGGTGATGGACCTTGACAAGAACGTAGCGGACTACTATCGATACTTCGAAGCTCCTGGAGTGAATCATTGCTTCGGTGGTATAGGACCAAGACCTGAGGAGGACGAGACATTGGCTGCGTTGATGGCGTGGGTTGAGAATGGGACTGCTCCGGAGACGTTGACGGCGAGGAGTCAAGCGGGAGATGGGACAGTCAGAGAGTTATGTCTGTACCCGAAGACATTGGTGTATACTGGTGGAGCACCAAAGAAGCCGGCGAGCTGGCAATGTCAGTAGCAATAGTCTGGCAGCAATCATAGTCTTTTACAAACTTGCTGAGCTTTACGGCGACCGAATGTCAATGCCTTCTTGCTGAGCTCACGCGGATGCAACTCACGTGACTCGTTCCTAAAGTGGAATTTAAAGCGGGGCGAATCTTGAAGGAAACAACCACTCGCCGGCACTCGACATTGCGTGGACATCGGGGCACAGCACAAGTACGTCAACCCCGACGACATCGCTCTCTTTTCGCTCTGCCTGCACCAAAGTCGCCGTTTGATGTCGACGCTGGACTTGGACATCATCGAGGCTGTTGGTTCCAAAAAACCTCGGGCGTGACGCGGAAGCTCGGCCAACACCACCGACCATCATCGCTCCCGGAAAGACCGACGCCGACGTCAAACCACCCAGGAATCCACGCCAAAGCGACGATGAGCTCCAATCTCGACCCTCGTCTGGGCGGCAGCGTCGACAATAAACCGCAAGTAGCACCTCAACGCCAGTATGAGCGTCCACCGCCATCCCAGCTGATGCCTGGTGGAACTTCACTGAACCCTCCGCCGTACCCAACGACCGCATCGCCATCGCAGCAACAGCCTTACTACCAGTATCCGACCCCACATACACATACCCCACAGCAGCCTAGTACAGGCGCAGCGAGCGTGGGAAGCCAGAGCAACCAGGCCAGCCCGGCGGGAGCGAATACTGGCTATGGGCAGGGAGATGGCGGAGAGCACAGCGCGAACGAAGACGAGGGCGGCGCTGCAGAGGACCCTAAGCGGCCTCGAGCATGTGAGGCCTGCCGTGGGTTAAAGGTCCGTTGCGACCAAGATCCTGCACATCCGGAGCTGCCATGTAGACGATGCCAGAAGGCGGGCAGGCAGTGCATCATTACCGCGCCGAGCCGAAAGAGACAGAAGAAGGCAGACAACAGGGTCGCTGAGCTGGAGAAGAAGCTGGATGCTTTGACAGCGGTGCTGCAGCAGCAACAAGCTGTACATTCGCAGTATGGCTCGCCGCACAATCCAGGAGCACCTCCGCCGACGGCAGACATGATGCAAGGCAGACAAAGCGCAGCATCGCTACAGCACTCTTTGGCTCAGTACTCCTCGCAGCTCGGCTCTGCTGGCGCAAGCCCTCTTCCCGGTTCTGCTGGTATGCAGCCACCTCAGAAGCGGCGACGAACTGAAGATGGCCCACGAGAGACTGAATCTCTGGATGCTGCAGACGTTTCAAACCCCGGACCAATCTCTCGTTACGGATCTTCCACAGGCGTTTACGGCCACGAGACATACCGCCAAATGAACGATGCCTGGGGTCCCAGCGCAGACTCGCTCCGCCATCTCATCCACCGCTCGCCGGAAGAATTCATGAATCGTATCAACTCTCTCGTCAGTCTAGAGATGGGGGTCAGCATATTCAATCGCTACATTCTCAAGCTTGCGCCCCACATGCCTGCCGTTGTCTTCCCACCAGACACTACCGCCGAGCAGATCCGCAAGGAGAAGCCAATTCTGTATGCATGCATCCTCTCGGCCACGTCAGCGGGAATGCTTCCGCAGGACATATCGCAGCAGCTTTCTCGCGAAGCCATTCGTGCAATTGCCGATTGTGTCGTGTGCAACGGAGCCAAGTCGCTTGAGCTCATCCAGGCTATGCAGGTCATGGCATTGTGGTACAAGCCGCCGGAGAGGGCTGAGCAGACCAACTTCTATCAGATCATTCACATGGCTGCGGTCATGGCTATAGACATCGGCCTGGGCAAGCGCTTCAACGCTACGAAGGCTAGAAGAGGCTTCGGTGGTCCAAACGCCGACATGGCCCCTGGACCGCACATGATGTTGCCGCAAAACTCAGACACCGTTGAAGCCAGGAGGGCATGGCTTGGATGCTACTACCTCTGTGCTAGGTGAGTCTTAGTCACAACCATTGAGCAAACTATTTTCTAACGTCCTTCTCAGCGCTTCGATGGTCCTTCGTCGCCCTAACCTCATCAGATGGAGCAATTACATGAGAGAGTGCGTTGAGATTCTTGAGACCAGTCCCGAGGCATACGAGTCCGACAAGCTCTTCTGCCAGCACATCAAAATCCAACACATCTGTGAAGACATTGGTCTCCAGTTCCTGATGGATGATAATACCGCGAACATCAGCATCACCGATCCGAAGGTGACGTATCAGCTCAACGTGCTGGAGAACGAGCTCAAGGCATGGGCCGACGACATACCACCGCAACTCAAAGACCACCCTGGACTCAAGTTTTTCGAGAATGTTGCAAGTCTGTACCTGCACGAGATTGCGCTGCATTTCAACCACAACATCGAGGACTTCAAGCTGCCCTTCACAGAAGAGTCGCTCAAGGCCGTCAACAACACCTCCGAGACTCTCACACAACATCAGATGGCAGCTCTTGAAGCCTGCCGTCGATCTGCACACGGCATACTCGACATGATGCTGACATTCGACATTGCCACTGTCAAGACGCTACCCATGTTGATCTTCTTCGTGCGCTGCACTTACGCATTGGTCATTCTGATCAAGATGCATGTGGCCATAACTACTCCGGGGAGCGAGATCTCCAAGATCATGACGCCGGACGATGTGCGAGTTGATCATTACATTGACAGCTTGATCAATCTGTTTGGCAGCGTGGCCAACGAGCAAGAGTTCCGGCCGCATCCAAAGATCTTGCGGATCCTGTCCGTGCTTAAAGACTGGTTCAGGAAGCACAAGGACAACGTCGCAGCACAATCACGCGGCGAGCAACTCCCGCATCCTCCGACCACAAGCCTGCAGGAGAGGCAGAAGAGTGACAGCGCACCGTCTGGCCAGTCTGGTTTGCAGCTTCTGTCGCAAGTAGCCACTGGCAATCAGACGTCCCAATCACAAGGCTCAGGCCAGCAAAGCAATGCTTGGACGTATGACAGCCCGCATCCAGTCCGTTTCGGCCAGACTCAATGGAAGAACCCAAGCACAGGATACCCCTTCGATCCAACGCAGGAGCAGCAGTCCAACGCAACATACCCGGTGGTTGCGGACAATGGAGCTGCTGCCAACTACGGCGGAGGCATGGTGGATCAATATGGTCTCGACGGCTCGCTTCCAGACTATCTGTGGGGCTCAGGCTTCGAGCAAGCGATGGAGATGAACTTGGGTAGTATGGATGGTTTGATGGGTGCTGGTATGGATGGTTTGTTTCTAGGTGGCGGAATGGCGCCTTTCAGCTTCAACGGGGACGTGGCGACTACTGGACAGCAGTGGTAAGAGATGGACAGGTTTCTGCTGCAGAAAACAATGACCTCTTGGAAGAATCTTGTGACCCTTTTTGGCACCGCACGAGGAACACGTTGTAGTGAATAGGAGGATAATGCGTTACGAACTTGGCTCAGCGACCCCGTTTCATACATGTCAGGTTCGATGTGTTCTGCATCACATTAGTAAGTGCTGACAAGAAAGAAGCTAAAATACCTCGAAATGGAGTACGGCAGGTCACAAGTGCCATGTGGCTGGCCGCGATGACATAGCTCAGGAAGTGACTGCACGGAGGCTATTTGCCTCTGGATCGATGACTGAGAGAGCTCAGTATAAACATGTAAATAAAGATATCAACCCCTGTCCATTCTCGCGAGCACTCATAAGCTTCTCCCATAACAGGAATCCACCCGAACAAAAAAAATGTCCCCCTCACCCAACAAAGCCGCCATCCTCCGCCTCCTCTCCAACACCACCGACCTCTCCACCGTCCGCGAAATCGTCGCCCCCGGCGCAACCTACGTCTCCCTCGCGTTCGAAAACCCCGACCTCAAAGCCATCGAGCCCTGGTGCGGCATACATAAAAACGTAGGCCCGGAAGGGGTCCACGAAGTTTTCGTGCAGGTGAACCGGGCGTGGGAGGTGGAGGTGTTTGATGTATGCCTTATTCTTACCCTACCTCCGCTGATGTGATAGTGTGATAGTGTGTGGTGTATGGTGTACGCTGATGATTTAGATAGATCCACACGGCGCTTGCGGACGGGGAGACGAAAGAGGTTGCTGTGTTTGGGAGGTTTCGGTTTGTGTCGAGGGGGTTGGGCAAGGTTACGGATTCGCCTTTTGCGGTTTTGGCGAGGTTTGGGAGGGACGGGGAGGAGGAGGGGAAGGTGGTTTATATGCAGTTTTTGGAGGATACGTTGAGCACGGCGGGGAGTTTGAGATAGATGGGGTGGTGGGGTTGGAGTTTGTGAGCTGGGTGGAGTGGGGAGAGGGGGTTTGTTGATTGAGGATGGAGGTGTGTTTGCATATGTGCTGGCTCTTTTACGCTGTGCCGTTGATGCCTGGCGTCAACATGGTGTTACCAAGAATGCCGAACATCGTGGTCAGGCGTTCAAGGCTAGATAGATCCAATCCAGGAAGGGTACTGTTGCCGAAGAATTGGATTGCTCGGTTTGCCACCCAGGTAGGATTCTCATCGGCCTGCGAAAGTTGATCAGCAAATCTTCCCATATCAAGCGTCAACAGGTATCTCGTTCTCAGACTCACGATCCAATGTCCAGCCTTCGGCACGACGGCCGTTTCAAGATTCTCAGCAACACCTCCCCAAGCCTGTCTCAGGATCTCTGGTGGCGAGAACAAAGCCTCTCCTCCCATCGCTAGAGCTGGCATCTGCAACTTCCCCTTGCTTGCGAGAACGGCTTTGAAGTATTTCTCGTCCTCGAAAGCAGCGGCAAAGTATTGAAACATAGCCCTCAAGAACCCCGGCTTCGAGATGGCCCTCGCGTATACATCAAGAAGTTCGTTGGAAATGACATCGGTGCCGCTGTAGGAAGAGTGCCAGAAGTACCATTCCAGCATCTGTCTCTCTTTGCCCTGAATGAAGAACTGAGCCACGTCTGGCACGGCGAAGAATGCAAGCTGCCAGTTCTGATAGGGATCTGGAGAGGTGACTTCTGTGCTGTAGCCTGTCATCCCTGGAAGCGCATATTCGGAGAATATGATCTTCTCGACTCTTTCGGGATGTTCGAGAGCAAGGGACGCTGCCAGACCAGCGCCTTTGTCGTGCGAGAAGACGTATGTCTTGCTAATGTTGAGGAAGTTGAGCATAGCGAGATGATCGGCTCCGGCTGCTAAGGCGGTGTAGTTGTCGCTGAGGCTGAGGGCTGAGTCTCCCTGGCCGCGATTGTCTGGTGCGATGACTGAGAAGTGCTCGGCGAGGATTGGGCCCATGTGAGTCCATGTTCGTGAGTGCTGTGGCGAGCCGTGGATTAGAAGTAAGGGAGGCTTGCCGCCTTGCGAGTAGCGGAAGTGGATTGAAACGTCTTGCAGTTGGATTCTTTCGTGGCCCCATTGATCAAGCGGTTGCAGGCAGGAGATGCTTGTGATCAGGCTGGCGATGGGCAAGAGGAGGCTATGGAGTTTCATGATGTCTTCACTGTGTTTTTCGTCGTCCAGTCAGTCGAGATCAGTAGCTGTTCCTCCTGAAGCACACGCTCAATTCCACCACGATGCCTGCGTACCAACCGCCCTCTATTAATGCAACTTTCTGCCTACCAAGCAGCGGAATTACATTTGACTAAGTCTCCAGATCCATTTCAAAGAATCTGTACATCGTAGCACAGTGTTTACAAATGCTGCTTGGTCCCCTGGTATCGGAAGCGTCGTGAATTCCGAGATGCGAGAAGCGCTGATGAGATTCAACGTTGCACGACTTGACTCTTTTCCTGTTTTGGCAGGGCCGCTTCGGCGAGTCTGCATTTGGGGCGGGCTTATATGTAAGCAGCTCGAAGTTCACGCTTGATGATGAAGTCACAGCGCTTGGACTGCGGTTGTCTGCATGCACGTGCATTCACTTGAGGTCTGGAACATCTTTTATCCGAGCGCTTGTGGGGCATTGTGCTATGTGAGTCGGCCACACGATGCATTTCACTCTCATAGAATTCCATGGCCTCTGCTTCGTCCGCAGCAAAAAGCTGGTCATCGGACAAATCGCTGATGCATCCAGGCGTTTCCTTTAGAGGTGGACAGACAAACGCAGTTGACTGCAGGCCTGCCATTTCGCGTCGCATCGTGCTGCGTTTGCTTGCTCAGGGATTACACCTATCTTCTGACATCAACCAGAGACTCGTTCACCCCTTCTTGTGCCTCCACTCTTCTTTGGCGCCGCATCTTCGTCGGTCGCCTGCTCGTGAGCACTTGGCTTCTTTGTCGTTGTGTTTTTGTTTCGAGATCTCAAACCTTGACGTGAGCTCGCCTTTATAGAGCCACTATCGTTGGCACTTGGTCCATGAGGGACCTCGCTCGTCGGTTGAGAAGGACGTGAACAAGTAGGTGGATGATCAGTTGAAGTTCATGAAGGAGAATAAGAGGATGTTTCCGTGGGAGTGGGCCAAGAGGGACATCGATATGGGTGCGGATGGGACTGTGCAGGCGGTCATTGCTTGTACGAGATGAAGGGGAAGCGGTGTGATGGTCATCGATTGACGATTAGAACGACCTATACTTCGGCCGTCTCCAAGCGCTACCTTTCAGACCATTGCATCCATCCTTGTGAGAGGCAGTCTCGTCGTCCTCAAGCTTCCGAATCCAGGGATCAAGACGGTTCTCCTTAATGCTGCCTTTCCTCTTCCTCGGTCTCCTCCTTTTCGTCCCAGATGGTGGAACGCTTGACTCACTCTCTTCAATCAAGACTTCTCCTCCTCGTGGTCACCGTCTCCACCAGAGCCCGTCTCCTCGCCAACGTGGCCGTGGCCTTCAACCGAATGACCTGTGTTCGCATTCGATGGTGTCTCGACATCCTCCTCGTCGACGTCCTCCTCGTCGGTGTCCTCCTCATCGATTCCTTCGTCGACATCCTCATCGACATCTTCATCGCTCTCCTCGTCGACATCCTCACCGACGTCCTCGTCTTCTTCCTCCTCCATTTCATCCTGCTCGTCATCGTCTCCGTCTGCACCGGCGCCCTCATAGGAACTTCCGCCGCCGTCACGCTGTTCGCCTGCGGGCCCCCTCGTTGGTGTTTCATCCACCTCGTCCTCATCTGACTGTTCGTCTTGGTCCTCGCCCTCGCTGCTGTCGTCATCAGAGTCCGGTGGGTTGTCTGGTGCTTTCACGAAGGCGCCCGCCAGTGCGGCCTGCTTGAACTTTGGAGATCCTTGACTTCCTTGCTTGTCGAAGACCTGCTCATCTGGTGGTGCGGGGGATGATTCATCTGGTGAGGAATCCGTGAAAGCCGATTCAGGCTGTCCTTCTGCGTCATTGTCCGCGTCCTCTTCTTCCTCGTCGGTAGGCTCTTCATCCTCACTCGCTTCATCGTCGTCGTGGTCGTTGTCCGCTTCAGTGCCTGCAGCTGTGCCGCCTTCGTTTGCGGTCTCCTCACGTCCTCCATTTCCATCTTCTTCTCCGCATCCCACTGACACGCTTGACGGCAAGTCTTGCGGTTCAGTCATGGCTGGCTTGGTCAGACGTAGATTCGCGGGGATGATGTCGATGTTGAGGTGAAAACGTTGTGATGTTGTACGCCGTCCGCGCAAGTAAGAAGCGGCGCGTTTCTCTTCACTCGAGGGCTCTTTGCTTCGTTTGATGTCAGCGTCATTGAGTGAAGCACATGTTTGCATGTGTCACGCGAGAAAAGTGAAGCAAGTCCAGAGACTACTTCACTCGCCTTGGAAAGGGGAAACAGGAGCACACACCATCAAGTTGTGGTTGCCTCAACAGCGGCGATGGCAGCGCCAATATGCGCCGGCGGATGCTGAATACCCTTCGCGAAGACATTGTTCTCCTTTGGGCCCAGTGTGGTGTCCCTGGCAATCATGCTATTGCTGATGGCCTCCCACAGGTTGTACGCACTGCCGTCCAACGTATCGTCAGGGAAGACGTAGATCGAGAGCAGATCTCTAGCCGCCGTCCAGTCTCTTATGCTCAGCTCCATAGAAAGTCTTTTCAAGCACCTCATGTGCTTCGCCTCGCAACGTCCAGTGGCAGAGCAGATCGTAAACAGAGCCCAGAAGGTCGCTTCTTCGTAGAGCGTGCCGACAAGCGTCTCAGGGGCTAGAAGGAGTGCTTCTGCGTACAGAGCCTGAAGTCCTTCAGAGCTTACTGTCCCTGCTAACATCTGGAAGTACTCACACAGCGTCAGTCCAACAAGCCGAATCAGTGCACTTGCCTGCTGTTTGGTGTTGTCCTCTCGAAGCGTTTGTGTTGGGCAATAGCTGACTTTGGTCACCAAAGCGAGTGACCATTCGACGAGTCGTTGTTGGGTGTCTCGAACCGTCGAAAACGCGCTCCTGTCACCCGGCTTGTACAACGATAAAACATCGACGAGCTTCAGCAAGCTGGGTAGAACTAAGCGCTGCTGGCTCAAACGTGTTAGTCCTCGCGATCGCAACGGTGCACGGGCGATTGCTAGCTGATTGTCGTTGGCGTCGAAGTAGGGCTTTCTATTTGCATAGACAGCAAGGTCGTAACCAGCATTGAGGATGAGTTGGGCGATGGCCGTGGAGAACGAGTCCAGTCCTGCTTGAGTGGGTTCAGAGGAAGCCAAACCTCCACGCATGTTCACAATGGTTTCCAGTCCGCCCATATGCATCTCGTATGTTGAAAGGTTTCCGTAATGCTAAAGCCTTGGAGTCAGTCTCACAGGTCATAACAATCACGCAGACAAGAACACAGGGTGGCTCACAAGCTCCCACGCAGCCATCAAAGCAATTGCTCCTGCCACCGCGTCACTAATACCAGCTCTCCCCTGTGACTTCGCAATCGCGCTGTTGGCGCTCTCAAACGTCGAGCTCCTCAATTGAGCAAGAAGTGGCGTCGGGATCGGCTGGGCTCGCGATAGTGAAGCATGACTGGCAGCAGTGAGTAAGACTGCGTGAAACAGAGCACTGTCCTGCAAGGCTTCCGGCCAAAGCTGGTTTCTCATGACATCTCGACCCAGCATGTCCGTCGTGAAATCGGGCGCGAAATTATGGAGGAAGTAGTCCACCAGGTCAGGTATTTCAGGATGCCATTTCGATGCGGGATACAGCCGGAAAGGCTCAAGTTGGCCAGCACTGATCGATCTCGCGGGACTGGGTGAAGTGGTCAAGGTAAGTGATTTCAGATCCACTGCTGAAGAAGCTGACAGCCGTCTTCCCCTATCGCTCTCTGCGGCAGATGAGGAGCTCGCGTCATCGTATGAAGTACTCCTTTTGCCGGCAAGCTTGCGTGCGATGGTCCTCTTTCTCGCCGCGGCACTGGCCTTCGCCGCCTGCACACGAACAGCACGACGCGTCTCACTGCTGATTCCTGAGGAAGTGCCGGCTTTGAATGGTACAAAGGCAACGCCGGTGGGATGTGTGATGATAAAGGGGTCTTGGCGCTCCTCTCCAGGGGATGGAAGTGGGCTTTTGGATGTTGTCCTGGATAGCGGCTCTGGCTTCCCGTCGCCGTGCGGACGTTGCATGGATGTTGCCGTTGTACTGTTTTGGTTAACGTCAGAGAAGAGCCCGAATGACGCAGGCTATACCAGGCGCTCGACAGCCCATGTTCTTAAAGGTGCTCCATGTCCCTCATAAGGCTCTGATTTTAGCTTCCGCTGAGTGGGTATTGGGCGCCATTGCCCGCTTGCTCTGAATGGTCGATGCAGGTATTCGATCGACGGGCCTCTCAATGCCGCTCGAGGCCTCGGTGGTGTGCGAAGAGCAGCAGGGATGGAGAAGAAAAAACATACTTTCAGCTCGGATAGCCATGCAACCTTGACAGGTCTCTCTGCGTAATCATTGCGTCTGTACCATAGCGGCGGTACTGGTCTTCGCCTACGTCTGGGTGATCAATCTGCTTCCTACCGCAGCCGTATCTCCGCATGGCACAACGACCCCTGCCTCTTTACGCCAGCCACAGACAACGCCAGTTGCCATGCTTTCCTGCTTTGGGACACCACACAGACTAGCGCTGCATATTGAAATGCCGTGAAGGCCGTGCTACAGTCAAACCTAGATAAGAACATAACTTATTCCTGAGTTCATTCTATGTTGCTAACCAGGTTATAGGACTATCCAGTCTAACTAAAGAAACACGTGATATCGCTCTGCTTTCGCATCTCAGCCTTCCTTCTTTTGATTATAGTCTCTTACTTGTCAAGAATGCTCACAATCTCTAGCTGTCTATCTACCTGCTGCAACTCATATAGCCTTAGATGTTCAAGGGCCTGAAGAGCTGTATCCCCTAAGATCTTAGGTTGAATATCCTCCTCTTCTGAATCCTCTTGGTCTGCCGGATCGAATTGAGAGGCAATCTACTCAAAGAGGTCATCTGAGCTATCTTGGACAGCCTCATCCACTGGGTTTAGGAAGGTCTCAATTGACATAGCTAATACAATCCTTTGCTGCTGCTGAAGGCTCTGAATTGCAGACTAGATCTGAAGGGTTGCAGTAGCTATCTCATCTGAACCTTGAGCCTGATTTTGGACCAGTGTT